CACCATATTGGATCAGGTTACTTTCTTTATAGGGTTGAAACAGAGAAGGTTTCCTTATCCTGCTGGCTCTTATTGACTGGGCCATTCATGCTTGGTTGCTATGAATCTTTTAGGTTTTGTTTTTTAGTTTTAGTGGGACTTTTGTTTGTTTGTTTGTTTTTAGAAATATGCTTTTGAGAAATATTGCTTTTTTTCCTAGAATTTTTTTGTTTGTTTTTAGTACTGGGAATTGAACCCAAGGCCTTAAGCATTCTAGGCAAGTGCTCTACCACTGAACTACATCTGCAGAACTTCTTCTAGCATTTATAATTTTACCCCAAAAGGACAATATTTCCTTTACAAAATAAACTTTTTCCACTTTATTTTATATTGCCATGATTGATGGGGAACTTACACCAAAGGTATACCAAAATGAAGAGTATTCAGAAAGTAATCTACTCTACACTAAGCTTTAAGAATCCCTATTGATAAAAGCTATTAACATCTACCTTAGTAAATTTTACCCTTACTTTTTTATTGTAACAGTATAGTAAAGTAGGATTATGAGAAGTTTAAGTCTTTTATACTATGCAACCCAAAACATTTTATTATTTTATTTTAAGGTTTTTAAGTTTTGACTGGCATGTGACAATTTTACATACCATGGGGTGCAATATGATTTTTCAATACATGTATATATTGTGTATTGATCCAAATAAGATGACTAGCATTTCCATCACCTCAAACATCATACAAGCATTTATTTGCTCATATCTAGTTTAATTCCAAAAGAATTCCCTATATCTGGATGGATTGATTGGTGATGTTTATATTAGAAAATGTTAGCAATTCTTGCCCCAAATCAGGTGTTGCCTATTTTTTCAAAGCAAATAAACAAACAAAAAAAATAAAAATAAGTAAAATCCAGTCATTGTAAATAATTATTTTTAGATCATTTGATCATTAACAGCTCCACACAGCTCGGCAGTTCATGCCTGTCTCTCCTGCTTTGTTAAAATATTTGCTACAGTTAATACCATCCCACTTGTATTTATCCAGAAGTATCTAATCTTGTTTGTATCCTCTATTTTCCTTAATTAATAAGGCAGGCAGTGATAGCTGAAATTGCATTTGTAGGATTCCACTATGGATTCTCAGACTTCCCACTAAAATCTAGAAGCTATAATTAAATGTATTTAAAATTTTCTCTATTCTTATGACAGATCTAAGACTTAAAGCCAGAGGCCTTCAATGTTATGTGTGATATTTATATTACTTGTTTCATGTTATTATATAGATATATGTTATATATATATATATGTACATGTATGTGTATATTTATAATATACATGTTAGAAAGATAAGGTCATAAAGACAATTTAAATAATAATATATTACAAGTACCTCCTATGAGTAGTAATTCCTAACTTATTTTTTTCTTTCTTTCTTTCTTTTTTCTTTTCTTTTTCTTTCTTTTTTTTTTTTAGCATAGAAAACAAGTTTTACTTAAGAGGGAGACAGAGTTAGATTTCTCTAGAGAGAAGGGGCCCACAGTTGGGTGTCTGTGGGAGAGGGTATGTCTTCCTTTATAGACCCCCAGAATCCCTCATCTTCTCTCTTTTTTGAAATAATTTTAAAATTTGTTCTAATTAGTTATACATGACAGAAGAATGCACTTTGACATATATAATGGAATATAATTTCTCATTCTTCTGGTTATACACGATGTAGAATCCCACTGGTTGTGTAATTATATATGTACGTAGGGTAATAATGTCTTATTCATCCTATCTATTCATTCTTCCTACCTCGTACCTACTCCCCTCCCATTAGTCCCCTCTACCTAATCTAAAGTAACTCTTTTCTTCCCTAGCCAATCCTGTCGTGAATAAGCATCTGCATATCAGAGAAAAACATCTGATCTTTGTTCTTTGGGACTGACTTATTTCATTTAACATGATAGTCTCCAGCTTCATCCATTTACCAGCAAATGCCATAATTTCATTCTATTTAAGGCTGAATAATATCCCATTCTATCTACCTATCTTTCTATCTGTCTATCTATCTATCTATATCACATTTTTTATCCATTCACCAAAAAAAATTTAAAAATCCTTTTAATCCTCAGAAAGCTAGACACTATAAGAAATAAAAGATAAAATGGAGTCATAATGGAACTTCTAGTTTCTAGATATTTAAAGAAAGATTATTAATCTTGATAGATTTCCAGAAATCATCAAGCCCACCGTTGTTCTAGCTGGATCACAGATTGTGTATTTGAATTGATGCATTTCAAATAGAGCTATGGTTAAAAAAACCTACTCCCCGGTGTTAAATTCACCTTTGGCTAAAGTTAGGTGGTACTGGGACCTAATACAGGTTCACTGCATTATGTCTCATGTCTCTGTTTCTAAATTTCTATTCCCTTCATACCTAAGCTTTCATCTCTGGTTCCCCCATCATTCACCAATTTGTTAGATTGTTCACTTATCTAACAAACATCTCCTGAGCACATTGTGCTCAGCACAATGCAGAAAAGATGGAAATGAGGTCATTTACATCTGGGAAGTAAGAAGCATTGTCAGCTGATTCTGACTCTGGCCAGATACAGAGATAA